AGCGTGCCTGAAAACGCCCCGCCGGGGACACCGGTCATCCGCCTCAACGCCTCTGACCCGGACGAGGGCACCAACGGCCAGGTCCTCTACTCTTTCCACAGCTACGTCTCCGAGCGGGCCCGGGAGCTCTTCCAGATCGACCCCCAGAGTGGCCTCATCACGGTGAGCGGCGCCATCGACTATGAGGAGGGTCACGTCTATGAGCTGGACGTGCAGGCCAAGGACTTGGGGCCTAACTCCATCCCCGCCCACTGCAAAGTGACCATCAGCGTCCAGGATGCCAATGACAACCCACCCCTCATCAACCTGCTCTCCGTCAACAGCGAGCTGGTGGAGGTGAGCGAGAACGCCCCGCCGGGGTACGTCATCGCCCTGGTGCGGGTCTCGGACCGTGACTCCGGGGCCAATGGGCGGGTGCAGTGCAAGCTCCTGGGCAACGTGCCTTTTCGGCTCCAGGAGTACGAGAGCTTCTCCACCATCCTGGTGGACGGGCGGCTGGACCGGGAGCAGAGGGACCAGTACAACCTCACCATCCAGGCCAAGGATAATGGCATCCCCTCCCTTCAGGCCACCAAGTCCTTCACCGTCAAGATCACTGATGAGAATGACAACCATCCCCATTTCTCCAAGCCCTATTACCAGGTCATCGTGCAGGAGAACAACACCCCAGGGGCTTACCTCCTCTCAGTCTCAGCCAGGGACCCTGACCTGGGCCTCAATGGCAGCGTCTCTTACCAGATCGTGCCCTCCCAAGTCAGGGACATGCCTGTCTTCACCTATGTCTCCATCAACCCCAACTCAGGAGATATCTATGCTTTGAGGTCCTTCAATCATGAACAGACGAAGGCCTTTGAGTTCAAGGTCTTGGCAAAAGATGGAGGTAATCCCTCTCTGCAGAGCAATGCCACCGTGAGAGTGATTGTCCTGGATGTCAATGACAACACCCCCGTGATCACGGCCCCGCCGCTAGTGAACGGGACCGCAGAGGTGTACATCCCCAGGAACGCAGGGGTTGGCTACCTGGTGACGGTGGTCAAGGCAGACGACTACGACGAGGGTGAAAATGGCAGACTTTCCTATGAAATGGTGGAAGGAGACAGAGGATTTTTTGAGATAGACCAGGTCAATGGAGAGATAAGGACCACCAGAGCCTTTGGGGAGAACGCAAAGACAGCCTACGAACTGATTGTGGTGGCTCACGACCATGGAAAAACATCTCTCTCGGCTTCCGCCTTGATTTTGATATACCTGTCTCCAGCCCTGGATGCCCAAGAGTCCATAGGATCTGTTAACCTCTCCCTGATTTTCATTATTGCCCTGGGGTCTATCGCAGCCATTCTTTTTGTCACCATGATCTTCGTGGCAGTCAAGTGCAAAAGGGATAACAAGGAAATCAGGACCTACAACTGCAGGTAAAGACATCTTTGTTTTGGTGAACCTGCTGGGGCTGCTTTGATTTTTTTTTTTTTTGCCATCACCGTTACTTTTCCCTTTGCTGCTGTGTACTTGGGGGTGCGTGTGGGAGGGGTAGATTTGCTTGAGGAACCAGAAGCGAGGTTCCCGTCGCTCTGAGGAAATTTTCTGCGAAGCTTTAAGAAATCGTTCTCTGGGAGGAGGGCAGAAATCCGCGCCGAGTAGCGTTCCCGACTTAATTGTGCGGCTTGACAATCTGTTGCAGCATCCTTGATTTTACGCGCTCCGTCGCAGGGAAGGGGAGGGGGAGAACAGTTTTATAGTG